TTAGACTTTGATTAGGATATAATCAATAAATGTACAGGTCAACTAGAGTTCTTCTTTAACTACATAAATAGTAAGAATAAAAGTAGATATCAAATTAGCACTATGAAAGACAATATCATAGTTTATACTAAAGAGGAGGAAATGTGTGAAATTGTCAATAAAAATTTCAGTCAGTGTTTGTTCAGGACCCATACTTTGAAATTACAAATATATGCACAAACATAAAGGAAAATATTGAAAATATCACCCTCAAAAAGAATGAAATAAAAGACTTACTAAAAGGATTAGGCAAGACTAAAGCAGAGGGACCAGATGAGATTTCGAACATGGTTTTTAGGGAATGTGCTGAAGAACTATGTACCATAGGCATAGGAAGGTATTTTGAAGTGGTGGGGCAAATAAGGTTCCCCCAAAAGTAGCTGAGGAGCTGGGGGCTGCAGGCCCCTGATAGGGGCCAGGGAGCTGTGCCTCAATGGGGGACCATGGGGCAAAGCCTGTGGAAGCTCCTGTATTTAAGCAGTTTTAAAGAGTTAAACTTGTTCATTTATGCACAAATGTATCATATTTTTACTTAGATAGTTTTTGACATAATGGTTATTTCATTTTGACCAGATTCAGTTCGAGCTGCCCTCTCAGTTGCAGGGGGTCAGTGTTCTCAACAACTATGTAACTAAAGAATTTGACTGTTTGTTTGTTTACAGGGAATGTCCTTGACAGTTAAGGAGTGGGGAGGCGGAGGTTGGGTCTCGCCCCTTCCATTCTAAGGGTGGGGTTGCCCCCCCATCTCCTCTTTTCCTATATGTACTCCTTTATTGTTAATTTTCCAAAATTGAGAGAGACAAGGAAAACTTATATAAGAGTGGCTACAAACAAAATCCTCTAAATTATTAACCAGTTTCAACCTGTATAGTATGTAAGCTGTTAGAAAGGATAAGTAAGAAATAGTGGATTGAAGTCCTTGCAAAACATGAAATGATAGCAAATCAGCAATTAGGTTTTAGAAAAGGAGAGTCATGTGTAGCAAACCTCTGTTTTTTATGCCAGAATACCTGAAATATTACAAGAAAGAGACAACTTGGTGGATTTTGTGTAAATAGACTTTATAGAGGCTTTTGATAAGGTGTCTCATAGAAGACTGTTATGGAAATTAAAACACTTAGGTAGAGTGAAAGGCAAACTCCTTGAATGGATGAAAGACTTCCTTTATGAAAGACAGAAGAACACCATAATTAGAAGGAAGCACTACATGGTTATGAGTAACCAGTGGAGTGCCTTAAGGATCGGTTCTGGGGTGATGATGTTTACTACTTTCGTCAAACTAAAGCCCAGGTAGTTATCTGAATCTGTTTGTAGACAATGTGAAAATACAAAAAAGTATAATAGATGATGTTCCATGTCAATGCCTCCAAGTGACATCAAGAACTTATTCATATGGAGTTGTACTTGGAAAATGGAATTCAACACAAATAAATGCCATGTGGTCAGAGAGTGGAAATCATCTGCTATGCCAATACAAATTAGGAGACATACTATTAAACACAGCAGTAGGGAGAAAGACCTTGGAATAGTCATTAGCAGGAACCTAAGCCCAAATGATCATATAAATAAGAAGATCCATAAAATGCTTTGAGTGATTGCCAACATGAAGACGGCATTCAGGTATGTGGATGAAGATACGCTAATGATCATTACAGCCATCATAAGACCTAGTATGGTGCAGTGCTATGGAGTCTACACTTAAAAAAAAGATACATGAGCTACAAAATACACGACTTGCTGCTTTGGAAGAAAGAAGAAAAAGGGGTGACATAATGCTGTTCAGCTGTGTTACAGGAAGAGTGAAGTTAGACAAAGATGACTTTATGATTTTAAGCACAAGAAGGATGAGAGGTCAATAAGAAGTTGAAAGTAAAAAGAGACAATAAATTGACTATTGAAACACATAACAGTCTTCCAAGTAATGTGTGTGCCAGAAATGTGCATCAATTTAAAAGGTTCTATGATGACTTAAGTATAGCAGATGAGACCATCTGAGCTGAGCTGTTTTCCTTTATTGAAACAACTAGGTAAGGTAAGAACCCCCACCCCCCCACACCCACACACACACCCACACACACACACGGAAACACATAGTTATCATTGTGCTTACTTTCATTACAGATGTTGTATTTGGTGTCAGCTGTAGAATGGATTTCATTTGTCTGCAATTATTCATTTGGAGCTAAATGGCGTGAGAGTCTCATTGAAGGACCCAAAGCTCCAACAATAGTTACTTGCATATTGGCTAATAGTAAGGCCTTAGATACATAGCCTTGCTTTGTGTCTGAGAACTGTGTAAATGTTTTAAAAAAGTGGAATATATGAAAATTTCTTAAATCATGTTGAAGATTAAATGTTTGATAAAAGAAAAATCCAGTATCCAACTTTCATCTCACACATTCTAGATTTTCGTAATGCTTGGGGAGTGTGGGTCATTGCTGGTCTCCATGTGCTTCCTGTGTGGCTCCTGGGCATTAAATACAACATATTTGAGTCTCACCTGTGGTTTCTGCCTTTCTTTGTTCAACCTCTTGGTAAGTGTCTTTAACAGAAATTGATCTGTTAATTTTTTTCAGTAGTAGATTTTTAAGCAGAATGGATTATATTAAAATAGCACTTGTCCTTTTGTGTGCAGTGTGTGTGTGTGTGTGTGTGTGTGTGTGTGTGTGTGTGTGTGTGTGTGTGTGTGTGTGTGTGTGTGTGTGTGTGTGTGTGTGTGTGTGTGTGTGTGTGTGTGTGTGTGTGTGTGTGTGTGTGTGTGTGTGTGTGTGTGTGTGTGTGTGTGTGTGTGTGTGTGTGTGTGTGTGTGTGTGTGTGTGTGTGTGTGTGTGTGTGTGTGTGTGTGTGTGTGTGTGTGTGTGTGTGTGTGTGTGTGTGTGTGTGTGTTTGCATGTGTGTGTGTATTAATGGCATTCTTTATTTTTTTATATATCTTTTATTTTTTAACCACATGCTTGTTATAATTTTTGCAGGTATTTTTCTTCTGGGAACAGGGAGACTACTTTGTCTCTTTGTGGAAGTATGGAGTATATGGAATCATATGTACGGTCTTCTTGTGAACTCTTCCTCTTGCTGAGATTTTAGTGATGCAAAGAAATTAGGAAGACACTTGATTTTGGTAGCATCAATTTATATGACCTCTTACAGTTTAACTGATGCATTGAGTAAGAATGTAATAGATATACCAAAGATAATCAGGGATATTTTTATATGACTGGTTAAACAAATGTATTTCATTTTGGCATATGATTTTCTGTTATTAATTTAAAACAGTTATATTTCTGTCAACTTATCTCTTTTGAATCTCTCAGTTCATTACTTGTAGTATTATGTTATGAGAAAGACATGTTTATGACTTAATTGATATATTATGTACCACATATGCCAGTCATTAGCAAGTTATAAGCTTTATGTGATATATAAGTTAATACATATTGGATAGTTACTTAAAAAAGTTTAGTGGATGCATCACAAACCTGAGGACAGTTATTTTAAGCCACTGCTCCTTTAGGTACATACCATTCCGACTTTGAATTTAATTTATAAATTGTATTTACATTTTCCTTGATTGTTGGAAATATTTTCTTTAATTCTATGTTGCTATTATGAATGTCAATAACAATTGATTAATTATAAGGTATAGAATAATAATAACGTCAATGTTGGTAGCATTAGTAAAATAAATTATTTCCCAAAGACTCCTGGGAAGTTGAAATCAAGTAAGGCCCTGAGGTCTACATATTGACTACTTAGTGGCAAAGTCCTTGTGAAGCCATCTATCAACTGGTTTGTTAAAAGTGTGAGAGACTAGACACAATGATTTTTCATACATATGGGCATGCATTTACACAGAATTAAAACATATCTGGTTATCTATCTGATATATATGTCTTTATCTCTCTAACCATATGAGAAATATGCAATCTATAGTGATAAATATACAATCTATAGTAATAAATATACAATCTATAGTAATAAATATACAATCTATAGTAATAAATATGCAATCTATGCTAATAGATTTGCAATTTTTTTGTGTATAAGCATGTTCATATAAATGAAATCATATTGAGTTGGACCTCGCACTGGTCGTATGTCTAGAGATATTTCACAAAGCAATACTACAGTGAACACAACATTTTCCTGGTGGCATTAGGATAACAGAGGCTTCTTTAAGCATGTATGGCCTTTTCTTACCACCCAGTAGGTAGAAAATGATGGTAAATCTTCAGCAGGAGTGCTTTTGGTTGTGATGTCTTTGCTCCTCTTTGCAGTGAAATGGACATTTAGCTATTAGTTTACCCAAATCTTTGTTCTCCATGTTTTTAAATTTGACAACTTCAGTAACTTTAAAGCTGCTCTTTCTACCTCAGGTGTTTTCTCAAATTAATGTAACCAGTAAGAGCAAGGATTTAAAGTCTATTGACTTTATTTTAATGTGGAGTTGTTGCCGAGCATTGGCAATATCCTCTGTCACACAATAGCTTATATGAGGGTAAATCAAAAAGTTCACAGAATTTGCAGAACTATGCTTATTTACAAAGGACAAACAACAATATGATTTATTTTTCAATATTGTCTCCAGGCAAATATTTCCAAGTTTTTAATCTTTATTTAATTAATTTAAATGACTGACTTCAAGATAACAAGTCAGTGACAGATTTTAACATGTTTTACTCTGTTTTGACCTGCTCTCTGCTTGTTATGACAAATTTCAATTGACTTTTTGCTTTACACTCATAACTGTATTTAAAACAAAATCTTAAGAAAAATGCAGGTATCTAATTATGCTACTCGATCCACTAAACCCATTATGTTGATCATTATTTTGTATCTAGTAGTAGTAAATGAGTATACTAATACCAATTATATGATTATGAAAAGAATATAAGAAAGTAAAAGTGAAATCTTTATTTTGGTGCTGTGATTATTTTATTTGCATTTGAAAGTTCCCCTGCATT